GCGCGCAATTCACCGCGCGGAGACGCAGGAAGTGAAAACGGGAGTCGCCGCAAAAACGGCACGGCGTCCACTGAGTTAAAGTGCCCGCCAGCGTTTTCAGCGATAATTGGTGTCTATACTTCCTAGTCGCACAAAACGCTGTTGGACGCTGAAATCCTGGCGGACACTTAAAAAGCTGGATCGAGACCTATGCTTTCCCAGTCGCTCAGAACGCTGTCGCAAAGTAAGGATGCACCCTTATACTATTATTAAACTTTAAATTTTTTGAAAGTGTAAAATTTAAAGCAGATTTACAGTAGGAAGACCCTTAAGCAGGAAAGGGACGATTGTGTGTCAAAACTCTTCGGCCTCGTAAAGGTATTATTTTTTTTTTTATTTTATATGGTATTTTTTATTTTTGTGGTGTCCTTCAAATTTCTTTTTTGTTACGGACCTTGCTTTAGGGTTATGCTTCAAAGCTAATCTATACCCATGATATTTCTCGAGTTTTCGAATGTCTGTTGGCTTTGAAAAGGCCCGGTATCACTTCCGCACGTAAGTAGACAAGGTTTACTGTAAGATTTCATAGCTCGTTGTAATATGTTGTTTGAGTTTTCGAAGAACTCACCCCTGAACTTGTGCGAATGACAAAGAATAAGTATGCTCACTTCTTCGTTCTACGTATGTTGAAATACGGGTATGAACGGCTGCCTATCTTTTAAGTGATAAAGCCTGCTTAGAAATCTATGTGCCATTGTTTAGGTCTAAAGAACAACGAAATACCATCATTAGCTCGTTCCGGGGACATGCTGTATCGCTTATGCGGATTGTCTACGCTGCTGAGGTAAGTCGTCGACGTTGTAACGTTCTCATACGTTTTTTCTTCAGGCCATCGTTGTTCATTTTAGGTACTTGAAGTTGCTTACAATGAGTATGCTAATGCGCAGCAACGCTTTGATATTGTTTCCGAATTTTATGGCAAAGAATTTGTCCTGTTTAGGGTAAGTAATGCTGATATAATCCTTACTTCCAAGTAAAATCTTCATGTATATTCCAGTCGGACAGCCCACGCACGCTTGAAGAGATTGTAGCTGAAGAACCCACGAAGAAGAAATTGATTCTACAGCATCTTGAAGAACAGCTTCTCACACTCGTTGATAAGTAAGGCAGCTGTAAAATTTATTCTTTGGAGGGAATTATGGAGTTTGAATCCAAATCCTTCAGGACCACTGTGCGCCTTTCGCTTTGTCATCGTCTGCTGAAAGATTTTGCGACTCACTGTGAACCAGACCAGCTAACAAATTTGATTGATTCCCTGAAGGATAAGATTCCCGAAATTGTTCATACGCCAGATGGTTCCTATGTTGCTATGAAGTGTATTTGGCATGCCAACGTGAAGGATAGAAAGGTAAGCCATCTACATTTGAGCGTTTTCCTGAATTATTTTGAACTTTCATGTTGGATTTGGTTAAGAAGTTGTAGCATTTTTACAAAGTTTCTATTCCATATTCCTGTCCGCTATTTATTTGTTAGCAGCGTGTAAATAAGTGAAACTCTGGGTAATACACGAGGTAATTAAAGACAATTCCCGCGATCAAGTGTTGCGGGTAGTTGGTGCTCCGTCATGAACCAGTATCCCATAGGTAGCTCCTCAGTAGAAAAAGAAGCGAAAAAACCTCGGGAACACCTTGAACACAGACTTCACCAAAGCTTGAGCCGTGGGACCGTGCAGGCAAGCGATGCGATATTCGTGTTTGGAGGTTGAAGGTCTGGAAACAAAATTTTTAGCCTTTTTCAAAAAGCTCGATAGTAAAACTGGTCTGATGTCGGAAGATTGGGGTAGTAACAATTGGATAGTGGTCCCATCTAAAAGATCATTAGGTGAGTCTGAAAACACACTAACTGCTCTTCATTTCTTATCCTCCTCTTGCCATGAGTACGGAAGACGAACTACCTGCTCTTCAGATCACGTCCTTCCCATCGCTTGCAGGGTATGAAACTCAAAAAAGGTTTGCTGCTCTTTTGTTCACATCCTCCTGAAGAAACCAAAGAACCATATGGAACGCTAAAACAGACTAAGCGTCTTCAAATTATGTCCAACGGTGCGAAGTTTGCGCCTAATCGCTATAGAAAGCGCGCGAATGGCAAAGCGCCAGAAGCGCCCGCAGGACGCGTGCGCGCGGAGTGTTGTAGATAGAAGCCGCCGATGCTGGCTGGCTCGCCCGAGCCGTTCAGCATGCGTCCGCCTACAGTATGGTAGTGCAGGGCACATCGTTGGTTGGGGAATCCCCAACAGGGGGGTCGTATTTGGCCGCCAGGAGGGGGGGGGGTCGTAGTGAGTGCGGCAGCCAGTAACGAGCAGCGCAAATTGTCAATGTGCTGAGTCCTGTACAACGAAACTTGCTTTGTAGAGAACTCGGATATGCAAAAAAATAGTACAAAACTTTCATTCATCAAACTAATCCGAAATAACTGCAAATATTAATAAGTCGACATCATCTCGTAGGTCCGTTGGTGACTAAACAGTACAAACAGTCTCTGGTTCGCTGCCAATGATATGGCGTGTCCGCGGTCACGCTTGGCGCTGAGCCAACCTGTTTTTTTCTCGACAAGCGACAGGACTACCATATCGTTCATATCAGACGTTTTCCAGCAGTTGGTCTCCTTTATCGGAGTCAGCGATTGGCAGAGCACGAATCTGGCAGCGTTGACAGGGACATGTTCCATCATACGCAACGGAAAACACTGTAAACAAGTGCACAGGCTCGCCATGGACCTCCCTGAACCTTATAGACACATTTGCTCGCGTGAACAGACATTACGCACAAGTTGCACCATCCCATCACCTCTGCGCGGCCCTCAGTGCGCGGCGCATCCAAAGTTGACGTGATCGGCGCTAAACGAACCATATCCTGCTCCTGCTCCACCACAGGATACGTTCTACATGCGTTCCTGGCTATTCGAACACGCTTCACTTGGAACGGGTACAACACAGGAAACGGGTTTTTCGCGCAGCTGGTGTTTCCGAAAAATCCCCATCGCGAGATCTCATGAATCCCGAGAACTTCAGAAACAGTTCAAGAGGTTTTTAGAAAGAGAAAATCTTCAAACACTCGAAACCGTTCTCAGATTTGTGAAATGTTGAGTTACAAAAAAAATATATTGGTTCAAACCTGTTCAACTTAAACTTCAACCCTTCACTCCCCATGGAATCCCTATGGGCAGATTTCTCTGTGATTTTGCGACCTTCATAAACGTTTCAGTACATTTAGGAAGTGCAATCCTTCCTCTACACGAATACGGTCTCCTCTTCCCACAGTCCGTCCGGCTTTTCCGAGAAGTCATGCGCGTCCTTCAAAGACACCCTACTTGACTTGAAAAATTCTCGCTCCATGCCGACTAAATGACGAAACGATCTGCGGTCACACGTGCAACTACATGCGCCTTCTGCCTACCGCTACTCCACACCTAATCGCGCGCCGGCTTAATGCATTTTTACGGCGCGTTGATATAAGCTGTACGTAGCTGAGACAATGCCTAAACTTTCTCTGTTCCTCGGCTTCAGTCTTGGGAATAAGGAAACGTTGTTAAACACTTGTGCGTCCGCTGCATGCGCCGCTGCCCAGCAGAGCCGGAGGTTCACCTCAGGTTAACGAATGCTCATTGAATTTAATCGCGATATATCGTTATTATTACCATGTGTTTCAAAACGGCCATCGAAGAAGTTCATCATACGAGTTTCTCATAATACGATTGTACCGTTTTTTGTTTGCAATCATCTCTGTATTGTTCTATTATGTCATGACTTCAAGTCGTCCATTTAGTATGGGCACCTTCATACAAGTAGGAATTCACACCCCTCCATAAGTTTCATTTAAGGCGAAAAAAAACCGAACGGCAAAAAAAGGGGGGGTCGTACCGAACCCCCAAAAAAGGGGGGGGGTCGTACAGGCTCGACCAAAATCCCCATCGAATGCTGTGCCCTGATTGGCGTATGTTGCCACGTGCACATGTCCCTAACTTCTTTATCGCGCCGTTTTGAGGGGCGAAAGTGGTATGTTCTTTGTGAACGCGTATAACAGTTCAAGAGGTACGGAGTCATTTTGAGGACGCGACTGAATCGCGGGGAGTTGTTTTAGATGATGCAGCCAGGTTCTTAGCGATCTCGTGATAAAGACACTGAATCAAAATTGGGAGATGGATAAGCAGCACAGTAGAAGCCTGGTCCCATATCCGAAATTCACTTGTGTGGGAAGACCTGAATGAGTTCTTGATCAAATTTCTCAATGGTTGTAGAGCGGAGTCGCTGTTATGTTATGGGGTTCTCCTTATATTCAGTTCTGATGCTCTTGATGGGCAGTTCTCATCGATCATTCCAACTTAATGATAGCATTATTCCACCCAAATGCAGCATAGAAGCGTCTCTGGAGACAAAGATCACTACCCGTTTTTTTTCAAACTTTTCAGTGGACCAGCTGCGGTTGTATGACCTATTTCAGTCAGTTCTGAGTGACCTTTTTTGAACAGTTTTGTTGGCCACCTCCCTATAAACGGTTCTTAGTCTGGTCGCAAATGAGGAAAAAAATTTGCGATTTGTCATTTTTTTGTCTCTTAGAGCTGGAGCGTGGGGCCTGACACAGCATTCATTTGAAACTTATCTTGCAAGCGTATACGAAAGTACCGCGTAATTTAAATAAGACTTGACAGAAGTGCTAAAATAATAATATGATTGCCGCGCAAAGTCACTCAAACAAGGCATTCCTAGCCTCAGACGTTACCAATATGTTCATTGTTAACCATCATATGAACACTTTTCAGTTGATAGTGAAAAACTTCAAAGATGTCGCCGTGAAATGGGCAATGGAGCATTATGGTCATCGAGTTCTACTTGCACTTTTTGACACCATTGATGATACTGTACTCGTAAACAAGTATATAACCACAGTAAGTGTTTTGCTTTACTGCAAATGTAAGAAGAAAACCTCGTGTAACACGCAATGAACCAACCACAAGCTCAGTATAGGAGGGAATGTTGAAAATTCGGGTGATTTGCACTTTAGAATTGGTTAAAGGTGCCGACTAAGGTATCATTATGACCCGCTGTAACAAGTAAGTATAAAATGGCCTCTCCTGTTCTCAGAGTAAAACATTGTCTGTCTGTTCATCTGCCCAACTAGTTGTCTGGATGTGACCGGTAGTCTCACTGGATACCCCTGCAGATAAGTCTGGAGTGAACAGGTGGGGTGCATTTCATAAGGGTCAAGACGAGCGCGATATGCTTCGGACTTGCGAAAGAGCGGCGTGTACTTGAATGATCGGTTGCTGAAATGCTGAGAAAAATTGAGCATGGAAACTGACCTCCCGAACTTTCTCATCCTGGTTTAGACTGTAGAAGAAGAGCACCATTTCAAAGTTCACCTTAATTTCTGTAGAAATAATTATCATAGGTGAAAATCGTTGTAACACCTCATCGAAATGTTTCAGGAGTTGTGCCACGAAATGAATAAGTTGATTATGGATACTTGGGGCGAGAAAGTAATTCATTATATTGTGCATCCGCGGGATGGCCGAGGAATGCCACGAGAAGAGATCGAATTGTTGCGCGAGGTACGTCAAAACAAACAAGTTCAGGAAATGACGAAGTTCTTGAAAGAGCCTTGACATTTCTCGACCATAGTGTAGAAAATGGGGCTACTGTCGTAAGATTTTTCACTTCCTTTATACTATTTCACCTGGAATTTTCATCAGTTTTTTGCACTGTTCCACTTGTAAGGAGCATTTTGCATTTTCGCCAGTCCCTTTTTTGATTGGGATTTTCTTTCAGGGTGATTCTAACCCCTACAGCAAGAAGGAAAAGAAAGATCGTTATGCTGAAATATATCGGAGCGTATGCGAGTCATTATATGCTTATCTCGCTTCAAATATGGAGTCTTTGATTTTCGAGCACAATAGGTCGAGATTCATCGCAGCTTGCCTGGAAACTACAAGTAAGTGGAATTGTCCTGTCTTTGCTATTATTCAAAATCTTTAATGTTTTAAATAAATTTTTGTAGGTAGCTACGATCTGTTCGATCGACAGGTTCCTGCCGAAATGCGTCAGAGATGTAATGAGGCAATTGCTCAGATAGCCAAACAGGTGTACTCCATTTTCATTTTAAGACGAACACACTTTTCAAACGAAATCTGACCACTTTCCGAACCAAATCGGACGCTTTCAAATCGGAGTGGACGCACAGGACCTTTGACTAACCAGATCACACTAAACGCTACTACAAGCCCCGCCTTTAGCCTAGCCGCAGCCACACCCACATTTCAGCATGATTGTGATTCCTCGAATTTCATTTCATAACTTCTGCTTTTGTAACATTTTTGCAATTTTGTTGCGTTGCAGCAAGAAATCAGGCAAGTTGTTCCAAGTGATGAGCGAGACCCCTAGATGCAAGCTGAGAGCCATCATGTCGATTTGCACTAATTTTCAAAGGGGGCGGATCTTCTCATGGTGGGTGGGGCTTCACGTAACAATCCAAGAATGCAAAATTTTGAGAAAAAACAAACCTTCGCGAGGAGCCGCAAAAGTGGGCTAATGGGCTCAGCTTAACGTACCAGAGCATAGATGGGCGTCTACAAGTATCTTCGTTTATGAAGAGCGGTAGTGAAAATAGCGGCGTCGAAAGAGAGTTATAAAAACTCGAAGTCTACAACAAATCTGTCATAAAGTGTGCCCATGCGCCGACGTCCATTCCCTTTCTGCTGATGTGACGCGAAACAGCAAAATTGCAAAATGTTACAAAAACAGAAGTTATGAAACAAAATTCGATTAATTCGAGGCGAGGTTTGCAGTAATGCTTAGAGTAGGTGTTCAACGGAGTCTTGAATATACCTTGAAAAGTGAATTTTCAGTTAAAATGGTATATATGCAGTCACTTCTGACCCCCTTGACTTTTTTCGCCGGGTCCTTAGGAATACATGGCTTTCTTCGTGATTCAACAATCTCATTGAGGTTTCATCAAGGAAAGAGTATCGACTTATTCTAGGAGTTCATACCTATGGATAATGAACGTCTTCACTTGATTGAGCACCACGCTGGGCATTTCGTTCTGATGGCTGCGTTAAGGTGTTGTTTAAATGTGTTATAGGTTTATTGAAGTGTTATTCATCATAAACCCAATTAAGGTGTGACAATGGTCTGCCGGAGGATCAGAGATTATCTGTTGAAATCGTTAATACTTTACCCAAAGAAGCGCTAGGCTCTTGGATTTGTTGCAATAAGGTGAGAGTACAGGATGAGGTAGTCTTTTTAAACGGAATGGTGGGTGATTTCAGGGCTGCCACGTGTTGCTAAAAATGCTCCATTGTGGATCAAGTGTTGTGAAGGAAAAAATCAAGGAAGCGGTGAACATGAAGCAGTTGAAGGAATACACTTTCCGTGGTGCTACTCTACTTGTTGATGAACTGGGAAAGTAACCACCCTCACTGATTAATTTCTGCTTTTCGTTGTCTGTTTTTGTTTGAATGTGATTTATTGTTTTCGATTGTGAGCGGAAGTCCCCGACTCTTGGATAACAGAAAAATATTGGCAAAAAATTTATATTTCCACGTTACAGCTTCTGTTCGTAGTCCTGTTGTTGTTTTTGTTACATATTATTGTTATCTTGACATGAATCCTGAAGAACTGTTGAATGAGGATCTCAACGTCGATAAACAGAAGGTCTCATCAGATTGTGATCCTAGTCGTCACTGCTGCCCCTTCGTATTTCGTTTCCTAACAAGTTTCCTTACCAGGAGTTCGTGGCGAAGGAATTGGTCGTCACACAAGCGGCTGGTAACATCGCAACAAGTCGAAGCTCTGTCAGAAACGACCCCTCTCGCTGCCCGAGAAAAATAAACGATCAAAAACTACACCATAGACGACCCCAGTTCCTCCAACCACCAAGCACAATCCTCCTCGCTGAGGATCCCCAACGTGCTTGACAAGATTACCCAGGGTCCCCGTCCAAAGGGGTGCCCCGCCGCCATTTTAATTTCAGCTCGTCGTATGGCGAAGTATCGCTGCCCCCGTCCTTTTGTCGTCTGGTTTTCTTCCGCGCACTCAGTGCCTCTTGACCGTACAATGCTTAAAGGCACTTGGCAAGAGTTTCCTACTTAGCCTAAAATGCTAGTAGGGCGCTGTATAGTGGGGAAATGGCGAAAGAACGGAGTGAAACGGTCAAAATCCTGCGAAGAAAAAGCCTCCGTTCTCAGTGACTTGAAAATCGATTTCGGACGAGTTTCCCGTAGGCATCTTACCAATCACCGCTACCGAAGATACGGCTGCATATGTGTACCCATGTATGCATGCAGCATCACGGCCGCTTCATACCAATCCCTTCGCTTCATAATTTGCTTAGCAAATGAATGAATACGAGCGTCAGGAACGGTCGTCCATTTGTGGGCGGGCGGGCGGGCGTTTGGGACGTAAAGTTGTGGCTTGATAGGGCCCTTATAAGGGCACCTTCCTCGGGGAAACCGCTATGCAGCGCCTGCCCAGGGTCGCGGAATTCTATCCTGCCAGGAGTATTCCCTAGTCGTCTTGGGGGATTTATCGTGCCAACTGCCTTCAAAGCGAAAACCGACAGGAGTCCCATTCGAGGCGAATCGGCAGTTTCATGCGTTTTCGCCCTACCGTGTGCTCAAGTGCCACATACAATTTTGTTCTTAATCCCATTTAACAGTCATAGACTGTCTGCTAAAACCCTAGGTTCGAGACGGAATTTCTTCATCTCTTCATAAAAGCTGGCAGTCAACGGTGGTAGATTCCGAAAAACCAAGAAAAAAAATCAGTGAGAGGATATTCATCATAAACTATTTATTTAGGTATCAGATTCAAGTGAGAATCCAGGCGATAACCTTAATTTGGGGAACAATCCAATAGAACCTTTGAAAACACAACATACCAGTGACGAGGAACATCAACGCTTTCGCGCGAGCCACATTTGTTGAATACTATACGATAAAACTGACTCACTATAAATAATGCATCTATACACCGTAAAACGTTGACGTCTAGTCGTCTGAGGGGAACTGTTAAAACAACGAGCTTCTACACGATCAAGGGCCAGGATAGTTTAGAAAGAGCATCGGCAACGCTCAAACAGCATTTACTGAATTGGAGAGAGAAATGTAATATGTTCGTTCAGTCCGCAGATGGCATAACCTGGAAAGGTAGAGTGGGGAGGTATAGTTAAAAATGAATAAAAAATAACACTCGTCCTTTCTGACTATTATGAAAAGGACTGATGACTCACCTTCAATCTGTCGAAAGCTGCCTTCTCCAAAGCTTGACGCTGTGATGGATGAGCGATCTTGATGAGTTCGTACGCTCTTTGCCGCATATTCTTACCCCATAGTTGAGCAATACCGTATTCCGTGACAATGTAGTGTACATGAGATCGAGATGTGACAACACCAGCTCCCTAAACAATCGAAGTAATTGAGCCTGGTCGAAAGGAAGGGAGCTGCAACTCAAACAATCCAACGAACCTCTTGTATGTAAGGCACAATCTTGCTTTGGCCTTTCTTCGAAACCGATGGAAGAGCAATGATTGGTTTGCCAAGGCCATCATTACAGACGGCTGCTCCACGGATAAAGTCTACTTGACCGCCGAAACCGGACAAAAACCGTTTGCCGACTGAATCGGCAACCACTGGAAAAGGTGCTTTGAATAATATTTAGGCCAAATTTCTCCGGAAATCAAAACTAGAGAAAGCTTTTCGGTTCAGATCGGCGATGGGGAGGGGGTCAAGCATTTTGCCTTTCGCTGCTTTCTACCGTCGTGTTCATTACTTTACAAGAATCGCCTCACGGTTTCAGCAGATTTCACAAAACTTCACTCGATGGCACATCAGTGGGAAGCAGCGGTAGTGCAAAATGCCTCCTCCCAGTCGCCAAAATGGGCCAAGATTCCGATGAAATATCACTCCGCGAAATTTTGGTACGCAATGGCCAAATTAGCCTTCTTAAAAGTATTAGGTTGTCCCAAAAGTTCGTGGACATTTTTTGAATCTCGTATCAGATCTTTCCGCAGCCATTTCGAGATCCAGTTATGTGGTCTATGGGAAGTGTGTTAGGTAAGCATCCCACAGCTTCTTCACCGTCCCTCGCAGTCGCTGTTCTCATATGAAAAACGGTAATTGAAATTCATCATTTTCGACACACTTCGCTATATGAATCTCTACCAAGCCACAACGTGGTTGGAGCCATAAGCGGCATTTCTCTGAGTTAGGTCCTGATGGTACCTTCCACAGTACGGCGCTGAAATGGCCCGATCGCTTCCGCTTGAGTGACTTCTATCTGGGAGAAAAACTTCGTCCAAGGAGGCCACCTGCCTTGGATTTGGACCTACTGTGTTCCTTGATTAAAACCAATTCGTACAAATCAACTTGCTATCTAGTCCTTACACTTGACTGGTCCCAAAGCACAAATGAGAGAGGGCCTCGCTCCCTTAGAAAAGTTCTGAAGTTCGGTCAAAATTTTTCTCATGAGTTGACCAGTACTCCAAGGGGAGCACATGTGGGTACTGTCTACAACTTCTCTCCCGCTTCCGCTGTACGGACTGGTTGAACAGCGCTGTAACTGGATATGGAGTAGGTGTCTCTAGGTGAATCACTCCTGGAAGCGCCAGCGGCTAGATCCCCCAGAAAGGGCAGAACCGATCGCGCAATCCTATCAATCCAGTAGGGCGGTGAGACTGTGTATGTGGTGGGGTTTCTTTCTCCCTTTCCATGGGGTTTCTTTCTCCCTTTCCATAATGGAATTTCTTCTTCTCAGCGCTGTGGTAACCTACGAACCCTATTGTAATCAACTGCAAAGGGGGTTGAAAATCGCTAACATTTGGTCCCAAAACCGAGCAATGTTTGCCTACTCCACCACAGCTCAGTTTCACACTCTTGGAAAACGACACTGCTCGAGTCCCTAAGCTTAGCTGGGGAATTC